AGTGGGGGAAAGGGTAAAAAGTAAGCTTATTAAAAAGGTATCTTCAGAAGTAGGATCCACACAGTGGTAGAGATACACCATCTACCAGATTTAACCTTTGTTGCAAGTTTCACATATGGAGGGAGAAGAATAAAATTGTAATCAAAAATTAATAGCAGATATAAGTACTTAAGCATACAATGTCTCATATCTAAATCTATCATTCATTGTATGTATACAATTGTGGGAAGATAGCTGCTGTTATGAAACAAAACTAACACACACTACTACAACTCAATTACTGAGGTGATTAGTAAAATATTTATTGTAATGGTCCATTACTTAAATGAATAGTACTTTGTGAAACATGTCTCATAATGATCTGATACTTGTTTGAGCAGTATTTAGTACAATGTATCCTATTATGGTCTGATACTTATATTAACAGCATAATATAATCTGTTTAGGCTAAAAATTATTATTGTTATATTGGTTATGATTTTTCAAGTAGAGCCATGTGAAGCCAAAATTTGTGCCACCAATAACAGAGATGCTTTCTATGCCTGTTAACCATCTCACAGAGTTTATTGCATGTTGTGTAGCTCTGAAAAAACTGTATTCTCTCTAATGTTGTGTTGGCTAAACTATTAAATTATATAGTTTTTCATGTACTGGTACATTTTATATTTAGTATGCAACAATATGATAAATTTAAGATTCTCCCCAATAATTTTTCTTTCTGAAATTATGCCACCATTTTACAATAGTTCATTCATTGTCACATGGTGGGTTATCAAGGTTTAACCAGAAAATATTAAGTTCTGAGAGACATGCACTTCATTATTTGTACAGTAAAAGCTGCATTGACCTTTCTTAGTACCATTTATAAGGAACTTGGAAAATATGTTGGTATTTAGCACTTGTACAAGTGTACAGTAAAACTTTTAGTGTAGTATAAACCCTATAGTAGAAGAACAAATAGGAATTAACTTGCATAAAAACAGACATTTGGAAATGAGCAGTTTTAATTTTATCATTGCTTTATTGATACTTAATATAAACTATAAATACATGTTAATTTTTACTTTGAAAATGAAACTATATTAACTTTTATGTATGTTGGTCAGATATTTTTAACTATACTTCATAATATGCCTCACTTTTTTTTTAATGTCTGTTTATACATCTCTCAGTAAATCAGTATGATAGAACTTGTGGAAAAAAATATATTTTTATTATTCATTCTTTATGGATAATAAACATTTTTATGAAATATGTTTAGGAGAATAAAGTTGGGAACAATTAATGTTATCCTGCTTATTAGAAAACTAATTTGGTTTAATCTTTTTATTATTGACTTTCACAGTACAGTGTTACATTGTGCTATAATATTACAGATTTAAAGTTTATAGATTTATTATCTTGCCTCAAATTATCTTTACATTTGAAAAACACCTATAGGTTTTAAGAGTATTAAAATAAGTAGCCAGGTTAGGTAGCTTTAACTTGCACTTGCACTAATATAATTGTATCGGGGAACCTTATGAAATAATATTTATATTATGTGAAGCTGTGATTAAGGTCATTTGTCCTCTGGTATCGTTACTAACACATTCAGTTTTTTTTTCTTTTTCTATAGAAGTAGTTTTTTCCTAGTGTACCACAGAAACAGTCTTTGAATGTCTTCATTGTATGTTGTTGAAATCTGAATAGCACAGAGAAATGGTTAATCACACACATAATTATGTAACAACAGTAAAAAAGAAAAATTAAATGTAGGCATATGTAAACTTGTGGAAGTGATAGTCCTTTGTTCAAAACTGACCTTCTTTCACCCATATTATATACACACACAAAGATGTTAGTGTTCAAAAGTGATAGGAAAACATTATTGAAGCTTTCAACACTGTTTTTGATTGAGAACTACGTAACTATTAACATTATAGAACAGCTAGCAATGGAAGTTAACCCTAAGTGAGAGTAGTGTAGTATCAGCTGGATAAAAGCACCGAATGGCTCATAAGAACAGAGAATGTCTCTATTTGGGTGGGCGCAGTTATAACTAATTCTGCCGTTATAAAAAGCTGTTTAATTTACCCATAACTTCTATTTCAGTTTTAAGATCTTTCAGAACAGTATTTTATATAGTACTAGCATATAGCCGTCAAAAATGGCGGGGTAAGTACTACCACCCCCACCCCATAGTATACCCTAACCTCACATATCATAGCTAACTGAAATAAATATAGTTTGTGAAATCAAGCTTGACCAACAAATAGGCAGAAAAGTGCAGTGAAGGCAGTCAAATTGGTAACTTCCTTTTTGAGCCAATCAACATTAATTTCATCGATGAAATTAATTCGTGGCGTATTCATAGAATAATTATCCGTAAAAATCGGTTAGATTAACAACTAGTATATATATAAAAGCCAGATGCCTAGACTTCACGTAATTATTACATGATGCAAAAGACTACCTGTAGTGAACAAAATATTAAAAATACGGCTTGCAACGATATCAATTACGGCTAATGAGCCTCTGCACAACAGTTTATTGACATGTGCACTGTATCTTGGAAATTTCAGCAATTTTTTGTATTAAAGCCTAAAATTAATGGAAAATTGAAACAATTAGCATAGGGCAAGTGTCGTATACTTTCCTTACAAGACCTGAGAAGATCTACACAAAGGGTAAACATTATGCACGTACTGCAACTACAATTAGTAATTTTCGAAAATAGTTTTATGGGAAAATATGCAAAATTTGTACTAAGGCACTGTTTTCTTGCACAAAACAGTGACAAATGCTACTGGCCTCTTTTGTCAAAAAATGGCATTTTTATTGCAGTGATATTTACCTTATATAGGTTCAAAGTACGAATGAAGTGTATGTGACCAAATTATTACTTTTTTTGCCCGTGTCGAATTTTCACGATTGCCTGGACGGAACCTAGTCGGGTAAAGTTCTTATGTAAATTAAGTTGAAAATTTTGCGTTTTAATTTTCCTTATGATGACATTTAAATATTGGGGATTAATTGTTTTTTGTGTGTGTATATTATTAATGAACTCATTTACTATTGGATAAGTCATGATTTAGGATTTTTTTCTGTTGAATAATATCGGGTTATACCTCCACAAGTGAAAATGTCTAAAAACAACTAAAAATATTCGTTTGGATCTTTGTGATGAAATACACTTAATATGTTATAATTGACAAATTTACGTTGATTGTTTGGTGAAAATCGCGTCACTGTCTTCCTAGTGTAGACCAATATACTTATACTTTTAAGGAGTAAAATATAATCTTACTAAAAAAAGAAAAAGTTATCTGTACTTCCTTCCCCGGTGGCTCAGAAGCCGCAAACATTTACAATTGGTCCCTTGGGTGGACATGGGTGCAATTTTGCTCTTTACAAGTAACAGTTTTGGTCAAGCGTGACTTACTCGTTAGCATGTTCAAAG